GCTTCCCGCTGTGTCCAGGGCCACGGGTGAGAAGCTGGCAGAAGGGGCCCCTTAGCTTGCTCCAGAGGAGGACGCACATCCTCCTGTGCACCTGAAGGCCCTGCCAGCAAAGGCCCACGGATGGGAGGTGCCCAGGCAGGGGTGCCTCGTCTAGTTTTCACAGAACCTGGTTGTGCCCCTGGCCTGTGGGAGGTGGACAGGCTGCCAGCTGGCCCTGGCCATGTCCCCACACTTGCTCTCAGCCTCTGTGCATACTGGGCTGCCCCAACAGGAGGGCAGCATGGGTGACCAAGACACATTTCACTGAGGGAGCCTATGTCCTCGAAAAACCTCCAGGGTGGGCACCAGCAGGGGTCCACATCTCCAAGCTGGCACCCCAGGCAGGGATATTCGGGCGGGGCGGTTGGGGTGTGAGGAGGTGTGCAGGCCAGGCCGGGCCAGGCTTGATTTCTCCTGATGCCAGAACTCTGTGCGGGGATGGCCCCGCATGGAGCCCATGCATGTGCCGTCCCTGTGGGCATCATGGGCCCAGGGGCTTCCCGAGGCCTCCAGGCCTGAGGCAGGGCCTGTCCCAGTCCCCCTGGGCTGTGCAGGGCCTGACAAGCGTCCACGTTGCAGACCTGTTTCTCTTGTCCCCTGAGTCCCTCCGTGGCCAAAGTGGCCTCTGGGACTTGGGGCTGGGTCAGTTAGGAGGCAACCACAAACTTAGGCACCCATTGGGGCATGCAAACTGAGGTAGGCCTTGTGAGGAACCACCATTGCCTGGCAACGAAAGAGGAGATTATTCCAGAATATCAGTTTGGCGGTACAGTTGCAGGCTTTGAGGGTGCCTTTGCGCAGGCGCTATGGGCATCGCGAGGTGCATTGTGGGAGGGAAAGGGGCGGAGCTTCTCTGTTGCCTCCTTAAATACTGTACACTGCACTCTTCAACGCAGTCAAGGCGGGCTCTGAGGAGTTGAGGTTGGACGGCCATGCAGGCCCCTGGCGCCGGAGTGGGTGGAGCGGAGGGCAACAGCAGTGACCAGCGTGGCGCGGGTTTCTCTGGTGGCGCGGGAACCCACACAACAGCCTTTTCACGGGTTGTCCAGATACCTCATGGCCCATGGCCCTTTGGGCAGATTGTGCTCCTGGGAAGCAGCACAGTGACGCAACTGCATGAATTGTATCCTTGGTGACGTGGCCGCGGGGGTCCGGGACGCTGGGGACCAGGGAGGCGTCAGGAGCGTGGGCTGGGACTCAGCCGGGCAGCGCCGCGGGGAAGGAGACCAGGAGAAGGGAGGCGGAAGCCCGAGGGCTGGTGGGGGACAGCCCACGGTGGCCTGCGGGGAGGGGCGGCGCGAGGAGGGGGGGCAGTGGTCAGGTCAGGGAGACCAGGCGAAGCCAGACAGGATGAAGAAACAGTGTGGGGGGTGGGGACGGGGCGGGCGCAGCCTGAGGGGTGTCGGTGGGGTGGGAGTGGGAGTGGTGCAGGGGAGCTGGGGAAGAGGAGGGTGTGGGGGCGGGGTGGGCACAGCCTGTGAGCTGCACGGGAAAGAGGATCAGGTTTGCAGAGGTTTGTGCCTTAGCCTCCCTCCATCAGCACCGTAAGGGTGCCCTTCCGGTCTCACATAGAAGCGGAGGTGGTCCGAACATCCCTGGCTACTTTCGGAGAAAACCTTGACGTACCCAGAGTGCTCAGCGTGGCTGGGAGAATCCTGACTGTGTCAGTCCTACAAGGGCCTGGACTCTGGGGGTGCAGCCCTGAGTGCAGGGAGGGGCATTTCCATGGACAGGGGAGGTGCCTGAGTGTTAGGGCTCACAGGGCGGGGTCTCAAAGCCAGGGTAAAGCTGTGACTGGTGACTGGATTTTCCTTTCTCTCACTTTCAGGAGATGGGTGGCCCAGGACCAAGGACGCCTCCAGGCAGTGTTCAATGCCTTCCTTAATGACCTCTTGCGGATCATACCACGTTTTGGGCCCTCATTTCCCACTGAGGCTCTGCTAGGAAAAAGAGGTTGAGGCCCATGTTCCCATGTCAGACAGTGCATCCCTCCCTAGGCCCTAAATTCCTGCATGTATTGCCATGTCCTTGTTGAAGCCTAACTTTTTTTTTGCCTTTGTTAGTTATTCATTGGGTGCTCGGGGCCCACTTGTTTAGTGTCCCTGTTGCTGGACAAGAGACATGACTGAATGTGTGTCACTTCACAAAATAAAGT